AGATCTAAAACCTGCAGGACACCGGCCCTCGAGGCCTGGAGTTGGACACCCCTGCGATAGAGGAACAAGGGAAAGCTCCCTAGTAAGTGCAAGCTAGTCACCTTGGAGCTGATGATGGTGCTATGAATGCCGTTGTCGCTGACTTTGATGGTGATTTGCCTGTCTGAGAGATCTGGTCTGATGAACGGGGGCTGAACTTTGACGTGTGGCTTCTTCCTGGGGTCCAGCATGTACCTTCATGAAAAAGTTACAGCACATTAACAAACAGGTTATTTACAGTCATCTACTGAAAGTTATACTTCATTATCAACGCACGGCAGCCTCTCTGTGATGCACTGACACGCCGGGATCCCAGCTGACTTGCTACATGGTTTACAAAAGACATTTCACACACAAATGCGCACGTTTAGCTGTTTTTTCAGGGCCGTCACTGCGGAAACTTGAGGAGGAAAAGAAAACTGTTCCATGTTTTCTGAGCAGTCGAGACACATTCAAGTAATCAACGCCTTGATAAAAACAGGAAACCTAATGATTTTGCTGTCAGACTCACTGCCAGTCAGGTTCGATGTTATATGAGTCACTGATTCAGTAAATTAAAGCGGATCCCATCAGGGCCTGTGCAACAGCTAAACAGCAACCACACAACATTTCACCCCACCTGTTGTTGTCTCTCTGCAGTCACACTGGTGATTTTTATGGGATGGGGCTCGGCCCAGTAGGATGTAATGGGGCGGGTTTTAGTGATGCTCTGTGTGCGTGTGAGCAAAAAGCAGGTTGGCTAGCTCCGCGCCGTTTCCCATTAACTGTTGTTTCTACAGAGTGAGCCAATTCTCTCAGCCATCTGCCTTCCCCCCCCCCCAGGGTTGCTGGCTGCTTTCAGGCAGAACACCTCTGCAGCCACCTCAGAGCATGTGCTTAGACACGTAAGGGCCTGTGTTACCACTGCAGTGATGTGCTGGTACAGCATGGATTTCATGGGTTTTGTTGGCCACATGAGTAAGCTGTGGCATACATATGCACGTGTATTGCCTTGATGTACTGCATGTAACAGGAAGACAAGACAGTTTCTACAATGTATTAGCTACCCATACTATGGACACACGCAGCATAGTAAAGCATCTTACCTGGGTGCTAGGGGACTACATAAAACATACTCCACGTTGCCACAGCAACCCTTGGTGAAAGGATTTACTCCTCCACGAAACTTGCCCGTCACCTGCAGAACAAAATGCTGGTTTACAGCTGGCAGCAAAGTAAACACAAGGCCATGGCCAACATACAGAGAGTGGACACACACACACACTTGCCTTTTTTATCTTAGTGAGGACATCTAATTGACATAATGCTTTCCCTAGCCGCTTACCCTAATCCTAACCATCAAAAATGAATGCCTAACCCTAACCATAACCTGTAACCGTGACACTAAAACCACATTTTGAGCATCAAAAAGATCTTCAAACTTGTGGGGCCAAGAATTTGGGCCCCGTAAAGGACTGTTGGACCCCACAAGTATAGTAACAGTTGAATTTTTGGTCCTCACAAAGATGTATAAGTGTGAACACACTAGGGCTGTCACGGTTACGTCGACTATTAAAATTGTCGACGACTGATTTAATAGTCGACGCGTCGTTTGAAGCTTTGTAAGATCCCAAAAGATGCAGGAATAAGTAGTAGGATTTAAGAGTGTAATAACGGACTGAAACAGA